TTTTTTTCGCCGGTGTTTTTAACTTGGTTGTCTGTCGATTTACATCAACACTCACACGCAGACAATCTCACGCACACCCATACATGCATAAGAAGAAGGGGAGAGGAGACAGAGTACACACTGCACACAGACAGAGTAAGCAGCGGAAAAGCACTATGAACAGGTGTGGAGATAACACGAAGGGTTTCTCACTCTCTGACAGTACTCCCAACAACCAATCACAATTAGACACTTGCGAGGATAACAAAAGAACAATCTGAGACTGAGCCGATCTGAACCAATATCGTTACAGAGTTTGTCTCAGTGTCTCGCCACTCACAGAACCACACACTCCACTCCCTAGACTACACCCAGTTAGTAGCGTTACACAACATCAGCCTCCCAGAGGCCTGCGCCAACCACCCAGATGAAGAACAGGAACTGCGATGTAACCCTCAGTGCCGATGAGCAACTCTGACGAAGAAAGCTGCAAATATGGCTGCAGTGCCACTGTAGATGCAATGCACGATCTCAGAGGAAGATGCGGCGACAGTGGTCCACCCACGAACACCATGTAGAGCCTCAGAATAGCCCAGCCGCTCGCAAGCACCCCCAGGGGTGGATGCTCAGAGGATGCCCCAGCTGTGGCGAGCTCCAGAAGGCTGGCTATGGCTGCCGTCCACAACGAAGGTCTCAGGATGTCGCCTGTAGGCCCTTGGCTCAGAACGCTGTGATGTGAAAAATGCAACTGCCAAAAGTCTCCACCCTACTGACCTCCATCTATTAATAGACTAACCTAGACCTAGACACGGACTGGACCGACCGGTACCGTTTCAGTCTGGCCTCTAGGGCCTCTACCTACCCGGCTATAGGCTCTCATGCTACGAGTCTAGGCCCCAGTGATAGCCCAGGCCTGCTGTTCGCAGTACGGTAAATCGCAGATATGTCCCTCACGAATTTCCCCTCAGCACTGAACTCTCGGTTAGTCCCTAACACAAACAAAATGACGAATCTAACCCTACCGCTGTTACTGTACAGCCTCACAATCAGATCTCGGCAGTCAAAATCAGCAAGTCATTGCACTGGGACCGGCCGAAAACTGACGGCTTGACATCTCCCTATGCAGTGCGCACACAATCAAACCAATCCAAACTGGTTTGCTCCACGGGAACAAGCACAAAAAAAAATACAAATAAATCTTGCCGATTCTTGCGGCCATTCTAGGAGCAAACTCAATCAGGAGGAAAAAAACGACAAATCTGACAAAATATGACGGACCTTTAGTTCCGAATCTTCGGATCCAAGCCCCGTGAATATTTATATTACGTCTCCCATGCATAGCTCGACCCCAGCCCCCAAAAAATAACAATGTGCTGAAATCGGCACCTTCCCCTCCCCCCCAAAAATCGGCACCTTCCCCTCCCTCCCCCCCTCAAAAAAAAATAAAATAAATAAATAAATAAATTGACACCTTCAGACAATGTCCACGGGAAGCTGGAAACCCGCATGTCTGTGAAGACCCCGCCATTTTTGGAAAATGCCTAATTAGGAAGTGAGGTGACTGAATGGGGGGTGACTGAACCTTTATTTGCAAAAACGTTTGTTGCCTGACACATTCATTGTGTGTCATCAGAGTCCATCAAAGAATGTGACATTGTTGTGGCATCCGATTCCATCAGGACTAGAACTCACGATCTGTTGATGGACAATTACAAGCAAGTAGCATATCAGATTAAAAAAAATTGAAAATGTTACCTGAATCTCAAGGAGAGGCCTTTGTAAAGCGGGGTTACTGAATCTTTCTTAGAGAAAAGCAGGACCTGTCAAAAAAAAAAAAAAAAAGAAGAAGAAAGAAAGAAAGAAAGAGGCACAAGGCAGCACCCCATATCAAAACAGTGGCAAACACACAATAACAGAACTGCGAACTCAGCACACACACAAAGAGGGGCCCGAATGTATCTGGCTGTGATTATGGCCACATCCCCCGACCAAAAAAGTCCCAGTGTGGGCATGAACCTTAGAGAGAGACGAATGGGGGAATGAGACGTGTATTACGAATTTCACAATCTCAAAAAGAACAAAAGAAAAAAGATAAAAAAACATTTTTTTTTAATCTAAAAGCTAGGCTGGGCCGCCGCCCGGCCGGTTGGGCCCGGGGGAGGTGCGCCCGGCGAAACCGGGTAATATGCTCTCTCTCTCTCTCTCTCTCTCTCTCTCTCTCTCTCTCTCTCTCTCTCACACACACACACACACACACACACACACACACACACACACAC